TCTATCCAGGATGTGCACATCTTCATCCCTGAAAGAGTGACCGCTGGCCTGGAGATGAGTGTAGACCGCAGAGTCCTGGCCTGATGATGTTGATCTTCTGTGCTGGGCCATCCTTTTGGCCAGTGGCTGTTTAGTTTCCCCAATGTAAGACTGACCACAACTGACCTCAACTGACCTCAACTGTCCCCCTCTTACAATGCTGTGATTGCTAGTATCACTCAGCCCTCTGTGAGCAGTAAACAGCCATCAGTGTGCTATTGATCCATTGTTAGGCTGATGGTCCTTCTTGAGTATATGATCAGCTGGTTTTGGTTGTCAGCAGCAAAACTGGTTGATCCACTCTGAGACGGTGCTATTTAAGAGACTGAGCTGAATACAGCTCCTCAGACTGAGGAAGTCTCTCGGATGAGAGACGAAACGTTTCTACATTTTTTTTGTTGATTTGCTTTGTTTTTTTGAATGTCCAGAGACCAGATTTAACTTTTTTAGAATTGCTCCAACAGTTGATCTTTTTTCACCAAGCTGCTCGGCAATTGCCCCGTAGACTTTTCCAGCCTTGTGGAGGTCTACAATTTTGTCTCTGGTGTCTTTGGACAGCTCTTTGGTCTTAGCCATGTTAGTAGTTGGAGTCTTACTGATTGTGTGGGGTGGACAGATGTCTTTCTGCAGCTAACGACCTCAAACAGGTGCTTCTAATTTAGAATAATAAGTTGAGTGGAGGTGGACTTTTTAGAGAAGGACTAACAGGTCTTTGAGGGCCAGAATTTTTGCTGATTGGCAGGTGTTCAAATACTTATTTGCAGCAGTAACGCACAAATAAATTATTTAAAACATCATACATTGGGATTTCAGGATTTTTTTTTTTTAGATGATGTCTCTCACAGTGGACATGCACCTAAGATTAAAATTTCAGACCCCTCCATGATTTCTAAGTGGGAGAATTTGCAAAGTCGCAGGGTGTTCAAATACTTATTTTCCTCACTGTACATATATATTTTTGAGTATGTGAACTTAATTTAATTTAAAGATTTTGTGTAACGCTGGAACCCCAAAGCAAATTCCATGTATGTGCAAATATACTTGGCAAAGAAGCGGTTCTGATGCTTTTTTGACCACATCCAAAATATGTTTTTTCACAATTTCCATGCTCTAAGAACATCCCCGCAACAATTGGCTCTATACCACTTAATTGCCCCATCGTTCTTTTACATTTTTCCTCAATGGTGCTGAACAAATATTTGGGTTAAACCAGCTTTACAATGCTTTGAGTGTTTTCTTCCTTGCACTGTTCAAGTTTTGGCTTCCAGTTCAAATGATTATTTCTTCTAAACTTTGCATTTCTTCATTTCAGATTTTGGTTCACTGTTTGACTTGGAACAAGACCTCCCAGATGAGCTGATCATCTCTAATGAACCAGGCCTGGTCAATGGCGGGGACCTCAACCAGTTGCAGCTGCACACTAGTTTGGGAGGAGGACCCACCACAGGACTGGGTGCTGGGGGTGGTAATGGAGCAGCTGGAGGAATAGGTTTTGGGCTTGGTCCTGGGAGTATTGGCGGAGGTCAAGATGCTGTGGCAAAGCATAAGCAGCTGTCTGAACTTTTGCGAACAGGGCCAACGTCCTCAAGTCAACAAGGGCATCAGGGACCCATGGGCAACCCCGGAGGCCCTGCAGCCATAGGGCAACATTTGGCAAACATGAAGGCATCCTCAGGTCAAGGCCCTCATCAAATGATTAGCCAGGGACAGCAGCAGCACCTCTCCCTCCAGCAGCAGGCAAACATGATGCAGCAACAACAGAGTGGAATAATGAGTAACAGGGCGATGATTGGTGTGCAGCAGAAAGTCAATAATGGACAACAGCAGCCTGGGATGATTGGAAACCAGGTGATGAATGGCTCTCCCAGGATGGGTTTCAGTAATCAGGGGATGGCTGGAGGCAGCAACCTGTTGGCTGACACTCTACAGCAGCAAGGAGCTGGTGGGCAAGTTGGGGCAAGAGGCCAACAACACGGAGCCATGAACAAGGTAGGAACTATTGATGTGTCAAACTGCAAAATGTGGCATCAATTCAGTCCCAAGTAAACGTAGCAGTGTCACCAGGATCAGTCCAATCCCACATACAACTTCTGAGGGCAGCCTATACAGTTTCACATAATACAGAGCGGTGCCATAGTTTCATTTGTATGCTAAATCTGAATATATTTTCATGGCAACAAATGAACCAATTTTTGCTTTCCACTTTTTTTTTTTAACTGATTATTTTTATTTTAAAACCCAGGACAGATTTCAAGGAAATTTTTAGCAAAAGATGAATTCTAAACCACTTTTCATAACGAACTAATTTGTGGATCTGATGCAATGCCTGGGTTGGTATGGTATACAGGTGTCCCGTATACTTAAAATGTCTTAAATGTCTAAGTTGGTTTTAAATGCATTACTTAAAGGTCTTAAAATGTGTCCGGGCCTTGGAGATTAAAGTCGGCTGCTGTCGCAATGGATTTCTGTCATTTGTAAAAATGAGGAGGGCAAAAAATCATTTAGTCATCCAACCTAATGATGATACAGATATTAAACTGACACTGTTATCAACCAATAAAGAAAACCACAGTTACCGTTTTGCCCAATCAGAGCAGAGCAGAGCAGAGCAGGGCGGGTCCTACTGTCTGATACATAGCAAGTGAGAGCATTAGGCAGTGTTGCCTGTACTATTTTCCAGGGAGGACACCTCTCTACCTTAACTGAAGGTGATGACGTATTTATTTATGAAACCTACATATTCACACGTGATCAGTTCACTGCAGCCGGGGGAGATGCCAGAACTGATGCACAATCAACCCCACACCCTCCTCCTACACCGCATGCCCGACCTCCCCTTGGTCTTTTGGATCTAAAGTCTAACTTTGTATTATTACATGTTGCTTTGTTCTGAACACTGTCATCATCATACAGACATGCAACTTGCACGAGTGACCAAACTCTGGTCAGAGAGAGTGCACAGCCAGAGTGTCGCTCGCTGTGAGGGAGGAGGCTGCGTCTGCAGCTTTAGTTTTTATAATTAAGTAATATGAGTAGGCCTGTTGTGATAAACAATAAATGAATTAATCGCATGATAAAGTAAAATGAGGTTGATAATTTTCATTTATCGGCTTTATTTTTTCTTTGTGTTTCTCTTTCTACTAGAGGTGTAACGGTTAGGGGTTGAACGACTACATAATTTTTAAACTCGACATTAACATAATAAAATTCGAGTGGAACTCGAGTACTTGATGATATCGTAGGATCTAAAGATACAAAAATAAATAAATAAATAAAACCGCAAAAAAGGTCATTATTTACAAAAAAAAAGACCCAACAAAAAATTGGGAGTATATATTATGCTCCTACCATTTATCATACTGCAAAAAAGTCACAGGAAAAACTAAACTATTAGTTTTTATTATTAGGCTGCAAACGTGAAGAAACGTGCAGCACGTCAAAAACGAAACTGAAAACAATGGGGGGGTCGACCACCCCACACCACCGCCAGCTGTGGTGCGCATTAGGTTTAGTTTTAGAGATTAATATGTTTATAGATTTTTTTTTTATAGGTTTAGAGATTGTTTTTTGCTTTTTGTTTGTGAAACAAGGTCAGAGGAAGCTGGTTCTGGTTCTGTCGATTGGAACCGGTGTTACACCATATTCTGTGACCTGCAACATTGCATGCAACACCGCCCCCTACGGTCACAAAATATGGTGTAACACCGGTTCGCAATGAGCTCCAAACAGTCAGGAAGTTTATTTATTTTCTTATTCCTTACAGTAGTTGAACCAGAAGATTCATCTTTAGTGAAATATTTCCAGACTATTGATGCATTTCTACCTGTTTGTCAAGACTGGGTCTGCTCTGCTCCATCCGTCTGCTTGGAGGAATCCATTTTGTAACTCGCGCCCGGTGCGGATCACGTGACGCGATGACGTAACGGTGGCGTAATGATGTCACCACGAACACTTGACATAAAATTAAAAACCTTGATAGATGTCCTAGGAATTGATGTGTAGATTACTCGAGTACTCTGTTAAAGCCCTAGTAACGGTACGCTAAAATCACATTTCGGTTCAGTTCAGTTTCAGGGAAGGCTTGGTTTGGTTAATTTTCGGTACAATAAAAGGCCAAAATGAAGACTTGCAAAATGTTTATTTTGAAAATTTGCCAAGTAAACAATACACTTTGTATAAAAATAAAAAGTGACCCATTTGGATGATATTTTAAATAAGTGGCACTCTTTACAATAAATAAACTATACTAACAATAATGAAAATCTTAATAAATACAATAACAGTCAGAATCAGAACAGTAAGCAGCAACAGACTGTTTACAATCTAACTAATTAAGTTTTAAGTTTTTGGACAAAAAGACCAACTTGTCCAGATTTTCTGCCAAAATCACAGATCTAGTTGCAGGGAATAGCTCCAGCGGTAGAGAAAACTGCTCACTAACAACAGTAGCAGGAATAAAGAGGTAGAGCTTTGCTAATTTTGCAGTGTGTCTATATTTGGCCTCATTACTCACAACCTCTTGGACTTGCTCCCACAGGTGGGACAGGTCACTGGAAAAGTTTAGAGTTCAGTCATCACAGACTTCTTACCTGGAGGTGATTTCTGATTTCCCTGAAGAGGAAGAAGACTCACAGCTGTTATCTCTGTCCCAGACTGGAAATAAAAACGAAGGTAAAAAAAAAAAAAAAAAAGTTAATAAGATTATAATTTTAAATTAAAAAAGTTAATTAGATAATAATAATAAATAAAATATCAATACCTCTTCTTGAACGGCCATCATTTCTGTTAAGAGGTGGCTGAATCTCTCGTTTATCATCGTCAGGGCAGGACTTTAATCTGGTCCAGGGCTTGTTGATGATCAGTTTTATCTTTTCATAAAGTGATGCTACAACTTTTTGGCTGAAGTGTCGACGTGATGTCGTAGCGGGGCTCAATAACTTTAAAGTCAGTGCATCAACAACATTCGGATGTAGATCCAGAGCTTTCAAATCTCCTACATCTTGTGTTATTGCTTTGGACCGATCTGAATTACCTGATAAAGGTTGTTTAAATGCTGCTGTTATCGGTCTTTGCACCAAGCTGCTAGAAGAGACATTCACGTTCGGATGATGTCGTTTCAAGTGCATTAACAAGTTAGATGTGTTGCTGCTGCAGATCCAATCTCTGTGAAACAACGTCGACACACAGCTTTGGATTTACACTTGTCTTTTAACAAGAAAGCCATATTGTTCCCAAACAGGAGACCGCAACGACATGCTAGGCTGCTAATGCTACGTGTGCTGTAAGATAATAGTGCCGTGCTGAAACACGCTTAGGAACTTTAGTTCCGCGACGCATAATCTCTCGTTAATAAAATTTGATGAGTGAAAAAATAACCAAAACGGTACACACGGGGACCGAACCAAACATGCCGTACCGAAACGGTTCAATACACCCACGTGTACCATTACACCCCTACTTTTTACTGAAGACACTGGATGACAAAAGTCTCAACTCTGGTGCTCTTCACTTACCGCTTTTTCTCTTTTTTCTTTAAAAAATGTTTTAACAGTCCAAAATTCAACAGACTTATAGAAGATATGCAGCATCTTGCTGCAAACATTGAAGGGCTTCAGCTTCCTCAAGAAGTACAGTTTGCTCTGTCCCTTCTTGTAGACTGCTTCACTCTTGTTACAACAACAAATAATTTCCCTCTGGGATTAATAAAGTATTTTTGAATTGAATTGAATTGAATTGTATTTCCAATCCAGTCTGTTGTCCAGGTGAACCCCAAGGTATTTATACTTCTCCCCCACCTCCACTTCTTCTCCCATGATGGAAATAGGGTTGGACCTGTTCCTGCTTCTCCTGAAATCTACAATCATCTCCTTTGTTTTGTTCACATTCAAGATCAGATGATTGTTTCCACACCATGCCACAAAGCGGTCCACAAGTTCCCTGTACTCAACTTCTTGTCCATCTCTGATACACCTGAACACTGCAGTCTCATCTGAATATTTCTGCAGATGACAGGAGTCTGTTTTGTACTGGAAATCTGAGGGGTACAGAGTGAAAAGGAATGATGAGAGTACAGTGCCCTGTGGTGCTCCTGAGCTACTGACCACCTGGTTAGACGCACAACCCTTCAGTCTGACAAACTGTGGTCTGTTTGTCAGGTAGTCTTTGATCCAAGTGATTGTTGAGGCCTCCACCTGAGTCTTCTGGAGTTTCTGACATAGCAGATCAGGCTGGATTGTGTTAAATGCACTGGAGAAATCAAAGAATATGACTCTCACAGACAGTGCTGTCTGCCTTTTCTAGATGACAGTGAGTTTGCTGAAGCAGGTGTATGATGGCATCATCAACTCCAGTATCTTTGCAGTATTATATAAAAACTAAAAAACAAAACGAACAAGGGTTAATTTTACTGAAATTTCTTTTTTTTAATCAAAGTATTCAGTCTCAAATATAAAAATAAAACGATCCTTCTGTTATTTAGATTGAAAAAGTCAACACAAAGTATAGATCACCAAAATCCACCACAAAAACTAAAGTGCAGGTGAACTTTCCCAAAATAACTTAATAAATTGAAGCTTAAGATCTGTTGAGCATAAATGTAACATACAAGTAGGGCTGCAACTAACGATTATTACAATAATCGATCCATCGGCCGATTATTTTTTCGATTAATCGATGAATCGGCAAAAAAACCCACAACGTTTTAATTTCCACCCCTTTATTCCAAAATTGAACATTTGACTGACATAGCAATTCACACAAAACACAGGTTGCTATTTTACTATTCTGTTAGTAAAATATTGAATAATAAAAAATAAAAGGTTGCTATTTTACTATTCTGTTAGTAAAATATTGAATAATAAAAAATAAGTTAGTCAAATAGCTTAAAAAATAAATGTACACAAAAATATATACAAATGTGTCTTTATACCTGCACAATATGTAGCTACTTTGTAAAATGTGTCATTGAGGGAAGAGTGTAACCTGGATTA